GCCATCTGACCAATCACAGCAGTGAGGACTCACGGAAAGGAGGGGTTTAGAGAGACTGATTCTTTGAACTGCTTCGTACGAGTCGTTTACGAATCATTTAGAAATTAGATAAAATTAAATCTATTTTTTGAGAAAACAAACGTGTTTTTTGACCTTGCATGCATGTAAACCTGTTTTAGGAGACTCCTAAAACAATATTCTTTAAAAAACATGTTTAAAAACATCTTACTGATTCGAAATGTTTGATTGGTAGTGCCACTGCCATGATTTTGTTTCATCTTAAAGTATTCAGTGGTTCTTCGTTCAGAAAATGTGCAATAATTAGCAACCGGATGCAGTACTCCTGAGCTAGATGAGCTCCACATCGAAATGAGGTCTTGTGGTAATTCGGACACTCTGATCTGGTCACAGGCACTACACCTTCATGAAAACCTGGAGGTATCAGGGAAGTTTGAAATTGTGTTTATCAGACATGAGGAAAGTAATCTGTATTGTTTAAAGTATCATGGAAATTCATTGGTTTAAATATGTAGGAATCCTGAATCCATATTAAAAATGTATTTTTCCATAAAGATGAAATCTACGTTCTTTATAGGAATGGGCCTAAAATAATTAATTCTCTCAGCAGGGTGGATGGATGTTCTTTTAAATGTATAATCAACAATGGGCTAAACTTCTGATTAACACTTGTCTGTAAAGAGGCTTTTAGGTTCCTGTGTCTTAGCGCCCAGACACACGGACTCTGAGGCAGTAAGGGCAATGAATTTCATTCCAGAATGCAGCTGATCTCTTTATGCGTGCTATTAATGCCCACTGCATGTCGAATATAGAATATTCCCTGCCCTATGGCCAACAACTGTTGCGGTCCCGTTTCTATGCTTGAGTGATGCATAGTTCCCTTGTTGACACTCAATTACAGTGAATTTTGTTGCTATGTACACAGAAATTCAGTGTATAGAAGTTAAATAAGAGGAAATCTCTCTCTTTCTCTTTCTTACGTTCGTTCTTCAGTTTGATGAGGGTCGCAATACATTTGATGGAGAGATCGGCAAAGAAAAACTACTGGCCTTCATCAAGGCCAACCAACTTCCCCTGGTCATTGAGTTTACAGAGCAGGTACACTTTTTATCAACACTTGTGGCTCTTGTTGTATATTGATATTACAGATCTGTGTTCGACCTGTTGCATACAAGGCCCAAGTTGGCCTATTTATTTTCATTGAAAAATGTAATGCATTGTAAAGGGGAAACAATAGATTTCTGAGTTTCTTATTTCTCCTTTGCAGACTGCTCCAAAAATCTTTGGAGGTGAAATCAAGTCCCACATCCTAATGTTTGTGCCCAAAACAGCCACAGACTTCCAGGACAAGATGGACCAATTTAAAAAGGCAGCTGAGGGCTTCAAAGGCAAGGTGGGTATTTTCATTTTTAATAAATTTTTTTTTTAAACCATGTGTCCATATGTTTCCTGGGTATGTTAGTTTAACATTCTCTTTCTCCACAGATTCTCTTCATCTTTATTGACAGTGATGTGGATGATAATCAGCGAATTCTGGAGTTCTTTGGTCTTAAGAAGGAAGAGTGCCCAACAATCCGCCTCATTACCCTAGAGGAAGAGATGACCAAATACAAACCAGAATCCTCAGAAATCACAGCAGAGAACATCATTACCTTCTGCACAGACTTCACAGAGGGAAAGCTTAAGGTGGCTGAGAACTTTGTTTAGGTTTAGGTTTAAACAATGTCTGTGATGGAAATGAGTCTTTACGGTCGATTTAGTAGTGACTTAAAATTGGCACTTAAATGACTTGAAGAAAATGTGTTCTGTCTTTTTGGAATGATGTGTGTGTGTGTGTGTGTGTGTGTTTTGAATGATTGTAATGTCTTTCAGCCTCATTTGATGAGTCAGGACATTCCTGACGACTGGGATAAGAACCCTGTCAAGGTCTTGGTGGGCAAAAACTTTGAAGAGGTTGCCTTCGACCCCGCAAAGAATGTCTTTGTGGAGTTTTGTAAGTATTTTGTCTCCATATAAAAATGTTTTTCATTAGATGCAAGTTCTGTAGTCTTGGATGTTGCTTGTCCTTCCATTAGATGTCTGACCTCGTGTTTTGAGAGATCACTTTGCCTGGCATATTGCCTGATTTATTTTGAAAGCTTGATTGCCCCTTCCAATAGCCTGGCATTGTAAACACAAGATTCCTGTATCTGTCCAAAAGCATACTGCTAATCCTGGTATGGGTACCCACAGGATACTTGGAGAGCTTTCTTTCCTATATACTCTTAAACTTGCTATAATTGGAATGAGCGAGAAATGCTGAGATCATTTTTCAAAACTGCTTCCCAATCTAGCACGTCTATGAGAAAAGTAAGGGGCTTTTTTTTTTTTACATGGCTATAACTGACTTTTTAATAAAGGATAAAGGTCTTGAAGGGGAGATGGGGTTATTTTTCATGTCCAGTATCAATGATTACTTGTACCTTTGCAGTTATATTTGAGCTCCAGTGGGGTTTTGAATAGTCAAGCTATGTCTGTCCAAGCATACATGAGACAACATGTAATCAAATTTTTATAGGATTATATCCATGTTGCACATCACTTCTGTCTTGCAGAGCAAGTGCAACAGCTGCTAGAGCTATTGTAGTCTAATTAAAGTCATAGTTCACTCAAAAATGACAGTTCTGTCATTTACCCAATCATATGATTTCTTTCTATGGAACACAAAAGAATATATTTGTGATCCAAATGCAAATCCAGTGATTTTATCCAATTAAATTGTTTATTTACTCTAATTTTGGTCTGTTCATCAAACAAAGTGATCGTAATGCATTCCATTTGCTCTTCCTATCCAGATGCCCCATGGTGTGGTCACTGTAAGCAGCTGGCCCCTATCTGGGATCAGTTGGGTGAGAAATTCAAAGACAAAGCAAACATTGTTGTGGCCAAGATGGACTCCACAGCCAATGAGATTGAAGCTGTCAAAGTGCATAGCTTCCCCACACTCAAGTTCTTCCCTGCTGGCGATGACCGTAAGGTAAGGCCATGAGACAGTTTGTTTCTGTTTTAGAAGGTGTAATTTTAGCATAATGTAATGTGAATTAAAAAAAAAAAAAAAGTTGAATAAATTGCAGTGGTCAGATCATCGATACACATAGCAGCCTGTATCACATAGCATCGATACACACAGCAATATTGTACACGCATACAATATTCACTGCTTTGTGATTTAAGCATCAATGCAAATAAAATGCATTGTTTCAGTATCAACTCTTAACATCTCTGATTTAATGTTTAGTATCAAAAACTGTGTTAAGTTCAAATGAAGTCCCCACATGGTGTTTTGTAACTTGGTTTCAGTTATATACAGCATAATTTACCATGTACTGCCATGTATAATTTTTTGCTGTGTATTCATATATTGCATATAAACAAAAGGTTAAATATCATTATTTGTCACATAAAACATGTCTTTTTAACTGAATGCATTAGGCAATTATTACAATGGCAGTATAAAATTCTCTTTTTGTGTACCAAGTATTCAGTTGATGTTATTAATGCACTAGACCTGTTTAATCTGGATTGTTATGATTGGCGTCAACTCTTCTATATGGGAGAAAGCAAACGAGGATGCCTCATTCTCCCTATTGCTCCAATTCTTCTTTGATTGTTGTTGTTTTAGCCAGTATCATAGATGTGCACAATTTGAATTATAAACGTTCCCAAAGTTGAAACTTGATAAATAATTATCGATAAAGTTTAGTAAATATCAATTGCTAAATGGGTTTTTTTTTTTTTGGTAGAGGTATTTTCATACCACTTGAGTTCATGTATATCAGTACAGTTGGATTATCGCGTAAGATTAGTAGATATTATATTACTATATACACGCATTTTAGGAAGCTGTCTTCCATTCTTTAAATATGTGGTTTTATACCTCTGGAAACTCCAACGCAGGTTTTTTTTATTTAATTTTTTTTTTTGCTCAAGTTCAGTCCCCCCCCCCCTTTTTT